CAAAGTGTCGGTATCTCACGTGCCTCCCCATTTTCACTTTCTGACACTTCACCTCTTGCTCTATTTCTTCCACTTCGGCCTCCTTAAATTTTTTTCATTGGATGTTCTACTTACTTGCAGCTGACGGTGGATGGCTATACTCGCTTCACTGTAAGGCCACGTCACCACATGCCCAATGTGCAAGGATAACTACAAATCAGGTAACATTCGAGAATACTATACGATTAAGTATGTTTAAATTCACATTTTCGTACATGTAATATTGATAATGCCAACTTAGTGAGCACTTAACTAACATCAAATATGTATCGCTTATTTCTTTTTTTCCCCCATATATTTTCAGCTTTAAAGGTGACTTTAGATGTAATTCTCCTTATAAAAAAAACCTTTAAAGCTGGTTCCTTAAGCAAAAACGTATACAGAAATGGACATTAGATAAACTTGCACGGTTCGCATTGTCCTTCTCCGAGAGCCATAATTAAATGTGGTTCAACTTAGAACATATAAATGATTTACCGAAACTCAAATCATAAGAACCAAAGATTAAATTCATCAAAAATTTTAGTGGTTAGAGATATTGAGTTTACACAGTTAGGCCTATGTACGTGTGCATTGTCAGTAGATAAGAAAAAATTTGAACAGATGTTACCTTATAAAATCATCTTAAACTATTAAAAAAATAAAGATTAAATTTGAAAAAAATAGGCACATGGCATGATAGGAAGAAGTGTACATGTTATGTTAGTTGCAGAACCAAAAAGAGAGAACATGGCACCCCCAATCAACCCACAACATATGCCTTGTATAATGGACCAAACAAATTAAGTATAGATACAAACATAATATTCAGTTATTTTAAAGTTTTTCCAATATTTGGAAAATTGAAATTCAGTTGAATCAAACTAACATAGCTTAAGACAAAAGTAAACAGAGAAATTCCTAAACCCAGGTTTCGTCGAATGTTACAAGAAATCTAGCTGCAGGTTTCCCTGGTAATTGTATATTTATTGCATGTCCATTCTTTCCCAGATTCATGTTTTGATGACTGTGGGTTCTTATAAGACAATTGAGAAAATATAATAATAATAATAATAATAATAATAATAATAATCTATATATTTAAAAATAATAAACAAAACAGTAATGGACTCGATTTCAATTGATACACCCGTACGAGAGTCCAAATTATTGGCCGAAAGGGTTGCATATTTTTAACCACTTAAAGAGGTTTACATGGCAAAACTTTCGAGATAATGTTCTGAAGGAAATTAATTCACGAGCTAATGCACTCCCAACATTAATTGCTCAAATAGGGTAAAATACACAGTGTTGGCCGTAGGTCGCCATGCACTATGGGTGACCTTGTAGGTCGCCATGCACTCCAGGCGACCTTGTAGGTCGCCATGCACTCCGGGCGACCTACCCTTGCTCAAACAGAGAGAATGAACGTGTTGCATGGCACATACACGTCCCAACACTTAGGTCACCATGCCCTCCGGGCAACCTTGTAGGTCGCCATGCACTCCGGGCGACCTACCCTTGCTCGGCTTCCCTCGGATTCCCTCGCATAGCTCGCTCGGTTGCCCTCGGATGCCCTCGCATAGCTCGTTCGTATGGCCTCGGTCGGATGGCCTCGGATGCCCAGCGTGTTGGGACGTGCATGGCACATGCAATCTCTTGTAGCTCGCCGGGAAGACATGGCGACCTAGTAGGTCGCCCAGAAGGCATGGCGACCTACGGCCAACACTGTGGATTTCACCTTATTTGAGCAATTAATCTTGAGAGTGCTTTATCTTGTGAATTAATTTTTTCCAGAACATTATCTCGAAAGTTTTGCCGGTTTACATTATCAAAATTTATATATAAATTCTTGAAAATATTTTTTGAAAGCTAACTTCAGTAATGGAATGTAAAACAAAGTCGTATATGTAAAATTGGCATGTTTGTTAGTATTGCAATAAAGTTAGGGTTCCGGCAGCGTCAATCAAGGCCAAGGTGATTTACTTTTATCCAGAATTCCCTGCACGAGTTCACAAATCAAGAGTTTCTAGAGCTACACTGGTATTAAAACTTTGACCAATTCTTCCACTTCCTGGTGGCGCTAAGTTTGACAATAAAACCTTCCTTTTAATGTTACATGAAAGAAATATTTTGATTATTGAAAGTTTGGCTAATTATTTCTTTCTAATTTCAGTACTCCTTTTGACATTCGCTTCTTTTTACACATTGTTTTATCATTTTTTTTGGGTACATTTTTTACACATTGTATTGCTAGTGGAAGCTTGCCATTATGCTGGTTTGTTTGCTGCAAATTAAGAAGAAAAAGGAATATAGGTTAATACAAAAAAAAATCTTTTGTTAAAATTATTTGGTTGAGAGAAAATAATAACAGAAGAGGAAGAAAAGTAGAAAACCCTTGATTTGGGAAGTGACTTGTTGGTTCCATGCAGCAATTTAGACTGGGATTTCACAAAGTATGTCATTTTCCCCTACCACGTCCACTTTGTCCATCCTTTTCAAAGAGAAAAAAACGCAGTCAAATTACTTTAAGGTGAATGTTTTACATACGATTTTATTCGTTCATAATCTTATTGGAATTGACTATGTAGCAAAGGTAAATGGGGTTTATACTGCAAGATTTTCAAAGCATTTCAGCAAATCATTTTGGCTGGTGACATGGCCTAAAGAAAGAGAAGAATTGAAGAGGGGATAATAGTCTTCATGCCAACCTAACACATAACACGCGTCTCTTTCTTTCCAAACCTTTGATCTGTTTGCGTGGATTGATGATAAAACCCTCATCGTTGATGTGATTATTAGCCTATCTCTCTCTTTGATTTAGACTTGTTTTTAATTTGGCAACCCCAAACTATACCTTTTCTGGTTTTTTGTCAACCGCAGGTGTTGATTGCTTTACCTTTTTCTCACGCGTTCATATGTAAGGAATTAGATCTGGTTATGGGTCGAATAGATCCAACGATCCATTTAACACGTTCAACTTAAATATGGATTGTTATACTTCTTTCGAGTTCCTTCTGCTCCGCACGTTAAGATCTTCTTATAGCGGAAGAACATCTCCGGACATAAGGTACGAGAGATTTAGAGCCTTATATTCTTTAGAAAACTACGATTTTTTTATATAATTCTTGATAGACATACGTGATCTACCATGGTCAATGTCAATTGACAATTAACCACATCAGTCAAATTTACCTATCATGCCAGTCTGCGAATAGTCAATGTAGTCTAACGTCTGACATCAACACTAATGATTAATATACAAACCCCCATATTCAATAGAGGAAGATCTTATAGCTCAGGCTTGTTTTCTTCTTTCTATCAACAACTCTTTTACACTACCAGCACACCATTGATAACTCTCATTCTAATCTAAAATAAATAAATTATCATCAATTGACAGGGACGGAACCAGGATTCTAATTCAATGGGCCAAAGTATAACAACCAATAGAAAATGAGAGGGGCAAAATCAAAATAAATCAAAATGAGGGAGACAAAATTAAAATAAACCAAAATTTGAAGGTCTAAATACATAATTTTCCTTATATACTTTTTAATAATAAAAAATTAGGGGACAATGACCCCAACCTTACACATAGATCCGTCCATATCAACCAACATAATCATTTTTTTTTTCATTCGGCATGAATCAAGTAAATATAAAAAATATATAAAAAAAAATAAAAATTAAATTGAACAAATCTCACCTTCTATCCATCATATGAAATGTTTTTTTTTCTAATAAAGATACTTCATTTATGATTTTTTTTTGGATGCGACCTCTAATAACATAAACGAATTGTATTGCTTTTTTCTTGAGCTTCATACTTGAATTAAATTTTTAATGCAAAATCGAACATCTATATTTTTGGTACATTCAAAGTTGATCTTTCTTTGTATAAAAGAAAAAGACAAGTCATTTCTTGCAGACTATATCCATAACAACTACATGAAATGCCCAATCATTTCCTTCAACAATAAGATTACAGTAATGCGTTCGTCAAAACCAACAACAAAGATTGATACATTTCATGGACCATGCATGTGATGCTGTGTTTTATTAATAACTAAAAGCTATGGACATTGATTAAACCGATGCTTTTAGTTACAAGGTTGATCATGTGCACATGAGTTTCCTCCAAAATAAACAATTAAGCTTGTAAAATTAGCAATAGATATTATATACAAATTGTATTCTCCATTGTTGTGTAACAAATAGATCAATAGATGTTAATACAAATTATAATTGAAGATTAAGTTCAATTTTATTGATTGAAATTTATTTGGTGATTAAGTTTAATTCAAAAAATTTACAAAATAAAAATTCTTGATGATTAAATAGTTAATAATAATAATAATAAAACTAAGTCTTAATCCCTAGAGTTACGAGGAATTATTTTGGAGATATATGATTATCTTATAATCCCTTTAAATTTTAGAATTTCCTTTTGAGAGATGAATTTTGTAAGGAAGTTAGAATAATGTTTTGGTATATATATCATGTTTTAAGATAGATAAGATATTATGTATTTGTATTCATCGTGATCTCTATGTTTTAAATAGATTACTATTTTTCTCTTTTACAGGCGTAGACAAAATCAAACCACATAAACCTCACCTTTTGTGTTATATATTTTATGTTAATCTCGTTTTCGTTTATAAATTTCTAAGTAGCATTAAAACTCTGGTTTGAAGTTTAAAACTACAAAAAAAAAATTATTGTTATAAATTTTGGTAGCAATGTTAAAGACACGTAAGAGTTACGTTGCAGCAATAAAATTTTAATTGCATAACAATAATTCTCGATCGATCCAGCAGTATGTCAACAAATGTTGCATAAGAATCGAAGTTATTGAAAATCCAACAGGTAACTTGAACTAATAGTTTAGTTACGTAAAAATTAAAATCGTTGAAAATTCAAAGACTAATTTTCTAATGAAATTTGTCAAAATAGAGATAGGGACTCGAGTCATATATAACTGATAATTTACAACACTTCACCAACAAATTGATTCATCTATAACAATCTACACATTTAAATCCGTCGGACGAAACCGCAAATAATCTGATCTATCATCATTTTACACGGTTCCAAGTTTTATACGATGAATACATCGTAGCTCAAACACTTAAAACAATGGCCCTTTCACCTTCCACTAGAATGAAACTGTGTTTTACACGAAAACATGTCTCAACTGTAACAGGGATAGGACAGGGACATATAAAAAGGGGATTCAGATTAGGAATTAAAACACTATGGAGGAAAAATACAGAACACACACACGTGAACTTACAAGGAAGGGACAAGCATACATACGACATTCATGAACATCGGAAACATCGACTGATGGAGAATATACTGGACCGGACTGGTGATGGCTTGGGCTCGGACTTTTTGTGATGATGTTTAAGAAATGCTTTTACTGCACCGGTCACCCCATCCTCACTCTCCATTGCCTTGGCAAGTTCGATGGCTTTCTCCTTCACCTGACATATTTTATGGTTAGTTCATCGCAAAGTTTCCAATACCCTCATACAATCATCTTGAAACTATGGGTCAAATTCTAAATTGATCTATGAACTTTAAAATGTTTCAATTGAATCTTCAAACTAAATTATCATTCCAATCAAGTCTTTCTATCTTCTAGTGTCAGCTTTCACGCACATGTTTGCTTCGATTTGATGTTTTTAAAATATTTATAATCCTTACTTGTTTAGATAATGAACCATGTCAGGTATAAGCTTTAACATCAAAGCTCACACTTACTACTAAACTGACAAAAGAACCTAATTGGATCAATACTTTGAATTGAGCAAACAATTAGAATGTATTGATTCAGGGACCAACTTAAAATTAGGCCCAAGGTTTGGATACTTCTGATGCAATTAACCCTATTATATTACTTTAGACCTCCCAAGTCCTAAGGAAACCAGATGATACAAAATAAACTGAACAACTAAATCTGGCATCACGAAAACAAAATTACCTTTGGATGTAGCATGAATTTTATTGCATCAACCAACTTGAGAAGTGAGAATTCTTCAACTGGGATGGGTGAAGGTCCCACTCCTCTGGCATGCACCCGCTCTCCCCAGAAAGGTTGATCCCCAAAGAACGGAACAATGGTGGTCGGGCACTAAAATTTATGAAATAATGTGTGGGGTAAGTGGACATGAAACGAAACCAAAAGCCCAAGTTTGTTATGCAGCCAAAACAATGTTAAACACTTGGTCACTGAGCTAGAAGTGCATAAATAACAGCAAGGATGAAAATCTTTGTTCTTACTGCAGCTTTAAGACCGGCAGCAGTTGTTCCAGCACCTCCATGATGTACCTGAAAGCAAGGCAAATAAAATCTTGCTAGTCAGAAAGAAATAGAGTAGAAAGCTTCAAGAGAAATCAGAAAATTTGGAGATGGAAAAGATAAAAATTTGGAAGTCAACAGGTATGATCAAGTATTTGCACTTCCTTGTATCTCACAAGCATGTGTTACATTGCTGGATACATGCCGGTTCTGCAACTTAATTTATTTATTATATTATGTGTTAATAGCATACTTGGCTTATCCCAACTTTCCCTAACCATATATGCCACATTTCTTTGGCACAACATCATGGAATCAAGCATCCATTATACCTTAGATATGCATCAATTAGTTGTAAACATGATTGTAGAGATAGATTAGTACATTCTTATGAATCAATTAGATTTTATTATTTCCTTGTATAAGCTTCCCAACTCTCTCTATATACTCTTGTAAATCAATAGTAAATTTAGATCTTCTCTCATCAGCTGTCTTATAACAGTTGCATCAGCTGGTGCCCACAATTGCTTAAAACATAGGGATCTCCTTGCTGGTAGAGTAGTATAAAAGATAGTGTTCTTCCAAAAGTAATGACAGCCATGTTATTCCAGGAAGAGAAAAAATGTGATAATGATGTCAAAATAGTTGGTGGAAGTTTCCACTTTTTTCTTCAAGACTGGAGGGACAGGAAATGGATTTACAAATCTGGAACCTTCAATGTGGTAAGATCATGATAAGTTATGGCCAAGTAATTGACCCAGCATTCCAAGCCCATTTTCAGTGGAAAGAGCTCAGGTCACAAGTTATACCAATATATAGTAGACCTGAAGTTAATGTATAAAGAAACTATACAGATACAACGAGAAAGAATCCTCCAAAACATGCAACTCTGTAACTTATTGACTTACCACAGCCTTGCATTGCAAGAACAGCCAATCATGAGGAACATTGTCCAATAAGTACACAAAGTCCTTGTTTTCTGCCACTGAAATAAACAAAAAAACAACTAAGAAAATATGCTACCTTAATAAGGAACATTTATAGATCCAAAAGTAAGAAAAACGGAACCTACAATTTCCAAGGCCACCCCAGCCTTTATTAATGATACCCCTCTGTCCAGTTTGTTCCAACGCATCTACTATTATTTGGGTCATTTTTTCTGGTTCTTGAACAGGCTGACATGAGAAAAGAAATAGTTCAAAAGGTTGTATAATTTCAAGAAAAATAAAAAGCAACCATACAACGATAAGTGAGAATAATATTTCATAGTAACCTACTTAACTTTGACATCCATACACTATATTAAGGATCAAACCAATCTTATGATCACTGAAATGAATCTCTACCCAACGAGAAAGAGGGAGAATGCATAATTCAGTGTGCTCGGCTTATATTAGCAACACAAGTAACTAAAACAAAATTTGCATGAAAACAATTCCTTATTAAATCATACGCTTTACAGAATGGGCAAAAGTCTTACCTTGGAACATCGAAAAACAGGATAATCAAGCATTTGACTCAAACCATGTTGCTATGTACTCTAAAATAATATTGTAAATGACTTAAAAATATTCGATACTTGAAGGGGATTAACAAGAAATGACAAGACATAAGAAACCAAACAACATATAAATATAGTAAAATCATGATGTGAAAAGAAAACAAACTCACAAGGCTTCCAAATCCAATATAAATAGGCTTGGGACCAGCTTCAAGCCACTTTACTAGCGATTCGGGGGGTTCATAATTTGATGCAAGATCCAGAAAGCAAAATCCTACCACGTCAATCTTAGGTCCCCAATCTGAAGGATAAAAATACGTGTTATCCTTGCATTTAAGATATCCTTGCCATGTTAAGTCACTATACAATTTATTATTTGGTTTAAAGAAATATCCTCATGCTTTATTGCATCAGCTGGTAAGAATGTGAATGAAATTACGCCGAACACCTTTTGGTTTAGGAACAAGATGGGGACTCCATATATATCCATGTGGCACATCAGAATCAGAGCCTTGGGAACCACTCAAATATGTGACTGGTCGTAGCTTCAGCCTTTTCTTTCTAACATCATTTATCATGTCCCGTATCCCAAGCCAAATCATTGAGTCAACAATCTGATATGAAAGCTGCAAGCAAACACAAATAAACAAGATGAGAAAGTATAACAAAAACATACAAATGAAATACAAATAAATTTCACAGAGCTCACTCGATATCCAGCAGGTTGCTTCACACGGGACAAGGGATGTGGAAACTCACTTGTTGGCCTGGAGGAAACAATAATGGATTGTTGAAAGCAGTCTGAGAGTGCCCATTAAACCATGTAATAGAACAACAGACTGATACAAAACAGGAAATGACAAGCTTGTAAACTGCTAGCTTTTAAGATGTTAAAGCAACATCCAACTCAGCTATAGATAAACAATACCAAACAAGACTTACGTCCATGGCATTGTGAAAAATATATGGATTGGTACTTTTAGTGCTTCTGCCACATGGGTATGCCCTAAAAATAATTGCCAAAATTTCTATAAGAATATTGAACCAGTAAATAAAAACATGAATAAAATATTTCTATTCCAAAAACAACAAATTATTGTGAAAATAAGAGCAATGACATGACATTTTCCCACCAAACTCATCTCTCAAATGAAGACAAAATAAAACAAATTCAGCACTGAAGGATCTAACCATCCTTCATATTGTTAAAGCAATAAATATAAAAGGGAAAATCCACCCTGAGCCCCTAGAGGACTACCACGAAGTTTGTTACAACATTAGGGCATCTTTGGTCTACTGGATTTGGATGCAAAAAGATAAAAAGGAATTTATTGATACAAAGCTAGCAAATGCTACAAAATTTAGAGGTCATTTTGCAAGGCAGAATATTGACTTCTTATCCATTAATTGTCCTTCCAACAAATACGAGAGGGAGGAAGTAAAAAGATAAACATATACATGCAAAGTTTAGACTCAAGAAATATGTCACAAAGGTTCTAGTCGGAACATATGTACATTCTAACCTTTTACAGTTTATGATTTCCGAATACAGATAAATGCTACATAAGCACTATCAATAATTCATGAAACACCAAAGCTATGCTTTAGCCCTTTGCAGCATATTCATTAAATGGCAATGTAAGGCACAGTTGTCTGAGAACAGGATGGCCTAATTAGGAATCCAATTAGTTGGCATTATGGATATGACTTGGGGATAAACTTTCACTACATCAAACTGTGATGCCTAAGAAACTAAAGCAGAGTGCTAAAAAGAATAAATCTAATAAATTTTCCTTTACACCACTGAAATTCCTTTATCTATACATGAGAAGTGAATGAGCAAAAACCAAATATCCATAATAAGTTGAACCTGGAAGCAAAACATCAAATCTCAACACGTATATTTCCATCAAACAGACTGATAAACGCATGCTTAAACATGCATATACATCCATACAGCTGTATATATCAGACACATTAAAGCTTGAAAAGAAAAGAAAGCTCACCGTATGCAGGAGGATTTGCAATGATTGCATCTGCATTAAAAGGAATACCGGAATCAGGATCAGATTCTTTGCAAGCAGGAAGCAGAGAGTTGATAATGTCCTTCATTTGATTTCGCTGAATGGGTATCTCAGAAGGGTTTGATGGCAAAAAGCCTTTATTTTTAACCATATCTGCTCAGGGGAAAAGTCAAGTGAAAGGAAATTACTAAAAAGCCCTGCTGAATATCGTAACTTTTGACAACTAATAACATTCAATTTAAGTTACATAGTACTTTAGGCATACTGGACAGTCCTTGGCTCAAACCTACATACTCTAAATGAATATGTGAAATAAAAATGGTAGTGTTGCACGTACGCATCAAAAATACATTGCAATTATGTCATTTAAATGCTATGCAAGGACCTAAGTTTAGTTTACATACAGGAACAAACTCAAATTAATCATATCAAAATCCCAATAAGGTTACACCAGAAAATCATAAGATAACGAGTCAGGTACATACAACCAGCAAGAACTTTTGGATCTCCGCCTAATGGATAGAACTCAAGCCCAGCAGTTAGTACAAACTCTTTGAAATTTGAATGAGTTGCCAATCTTACACGATGACCATATTCCTGCATACAAAACAGTAATTAGTTAGGGAAAGCAATGCTTTGATCCTGAACAATGGCAAACTATCCTAAATGATGATCACCGAAGTCCAAAACTTCGAGAGTCTATTGACAATAAGCAAAATTCTCATGAAAGCACTGCCTTCTATTACGTAAACTGGATATTTCCTTTATCTAGTTTACCTTAGTCAATGTGAGGATCAAGAAGAAATCCCTAGCTCAATTTTCAATATAGGGAATCTGATTTTAATATTATTTACATATTTTTAGAGAGAGAGGGAGAGAGAGAAGAAGAGGAAGAAGAATTCAGTCTTCAAGTAATTCGTTTCAAAAGAAAATTGCTCCATTTTCCTAAGTATAAGCATGCTACCAGAAAGCCCAGATGAAGTACAACAAAATTGGACTTAAATATAGTGAAAAGGTTATGCATATTAACAAAATGGAAAGAGGCTCAAAAGGCAAAACACCGTCCCAACCTGGAGGCGCTTGCCAATGGCAATAAATGGCTGCACATCTCCGCGTGTTCCAACTATAAGCATCACTATTTGCAGAGGTGGAACATACTGAAAATCTGTTTCAAGTGACTCTTCCTCAGCAACTTCAGAATGTGCGTCTCTTGGTCCACCATCAAGAACATGGGGCTCAACATCTGGCACTTCGAACGCCACAGTCCCATCATCTTTCACAGTAGCTATTCTGTTCAACAATTTAAGCTGCACAGATTTATAAAACTTAATAACATTACCACATACACAAGTCACAAAAGATCAAGCTTTCATACCATCCAAAAAACCACCCATTATAAAGCTAACCAATTAGATAGAGCTTAACCTATGTCTGTATTTGTGTTAAATGCTATTCTAGCCTTGATAAAAGGCAAGAAAAAGAAACGGGACTTGTGAAAAAACTGTAAAAATGTACTAAAAATGCATAAGAGTATTCTCCAAGAAAGAATTGAAGCATATCAATATATACATAACAAAAAGGAAGAAAAAAAAATACTTATATAGGTACTATTAGCAATTCTACCATCTCCTATGGATTTTGCCTAGCTGTTACCCACTATCCCATCCAGTTCCATATATCTTCCTTGTGCCCTAACATATCGTAACACTGCTACCTTAAATTGTTAGGAGTCCATTAAAAAATTTATTACACATTTAGTTACTTATTTAAGTCCATAATTTCAAACAATCAGTGAAAATCAGAATTTTTTTCATTAAGATTTTAAATTAACAAAATATTTGTATGCATAGTATAAAAGAGACCAACTTAAATTACAGCTAATTCATAAAGCCCTCAAGTAAAAAGAACAAATGTGGACATGCAGGTTCAAACGAATATATGGACTATATAAAAAAAAATTCAAGATACAAGGTTGGATAAACTCCATCTACCCCCTTCCTTTTGGACCTTTTCCACCAAGAACCCTGGTGGTATTTCCCACCTCTAAAAAACCCCATTATAGAGCTCCACTCCCACACAGAATTATAACATTAATTTCATCCGGTAAAATCACCTAAATACCCCAAAGTCAGACAGGACTAATGTTTTCAAGCTTAAGGCTACTTTTTGCAATTTTATTTAAAATAGTGGTGTAACCCTTATAAGAATGGAATGTTACCAAAATGGCCTGATTGAGATAAAAAGCACACGGTGCTATGTAGGAAAGGTCCAAATCACAAAGAGTGTAAATGGAGTTTACCCAATAATAATTAAATTCTAGTCAATAAACATGAACCATGAAATACTTCAAACTGCTGGAAGCCTGCTTGATGTCACCTAGGTTTACAACCTACTATATGAACTCATCTTTTCTCCAGCAAAAATCAACAAATTTTAAAACCTAGTATACCAACACATACTATATACACCCTTTTTTCTCCTCCTTCAAAGATGCAGCCCACTTTTCATAGATGAATACGATGCAAGGAGCCCTCCATCACATCACTTATCATCTGAAATTTTATCCCCATGGACAGAGATCACCAAAGGCCAAACTGTCATTATTTAAATGCTGTTGAGGAGGACCATTTTATCTCTTCTTGTAGTTCTTTTTGGTAAATGACCGAACTGTTTCCATCGTCTCCTCAACATATCAATCCGGACCGTATGATGTTTGAAATAACCTTTTTCAAAGTTTTCAAGCATACTCAAAAGCATAGGTCACATATTCACATTTCATCATTACAAGTCAACATAATATACTGCATGGAGCCATGTCAGTTCTTCAAAATCCTTAACCAATCATCCATGTAGAAGAAAAGGTTTTAAAAGCTCCTCTATAACGATTAGGTCTTCAATTCTACCACCAAGAACTTATATGCATCTTTGTATTTAAAAGGTTTTAACTTAGAATTATCCAATTGAGACAAAATTAAATAAACCAGAACCAAGTAATCCTTCTTTCAAAACATGTGAAATCAAAATAACATATAGAAAACTTAATACCTTCTTTTGGGCAGATATCTTATTGTCAAAAATCTGGGCTGCGTCTTCAGCAAATATGTTCCGAGGTCTTTGTGCCTCAGTTTTCGATTTTACTAGTTTAGGCTGGCTTGAATCCAATTTTTCAATGTTTGAAGTGCCCACTCGCAACGTTCCAACTTCAGAAAGACTTCGATGAACAGTGCCTGAATTTAGTAGAAAATACAAGAAATTTAAACCCGGACATAACAATACTGAAACAAATGGAAAGAAAGAAGGAAAACTTTCCACTCAATTGAATGAAATGTTCTATTTGACATTCTACTCCGAATTCCTCATTTTCCTTGTGTTTTCTTTCCTGAAATTCACACAACATGTTGAAAGCATAACTTTTCTTCCTGTCATCCCAAGTTGTTTTTCCTCCCATTCCCCACAGTGGACATGGTATTGATTTTTGTCCCAACAGCATACTCGTGAAACCTTTTTCTTTATATACAAAATTCACTATCATTTGCATCAGTAAAGCAGTATCCAACGTAAAGGCTCCAATGCCTAAAGTTATAACCCATCAAAGATACACAAAATAAGCTCGCAACTTTTAAGTCATTTAAATGCGGACACCAGTGGTTGACTGCTACTGCGGCTAAAAAATAAATAGCAAATTACACTATCAAGTTTAACGACAACAAACAGGGGCTGAAACAGGATTTTATGCAATAATATGCCATTAAAGTTCCCAACCATTCAAAGATAGAAAGAAACAACAAAATGGTGGAAGTCAAACCAGGTCGAAATTTCAGTCAAACCTCACCAAGCGAATCTAATCGTAGACAAAGTCCTGGATGCTCAAAACTGTGCAATAAAACTATCGAATTTTGAATTATAATACTAGAACGAATTGAAGGCGATGAAAGGAACTCAAAGCACCTGGATGCTCAACGGCACCGTTATTCAATGCAAAATCCACTTGAGCGTGAGAACCGTCGCCACTAATGGCTCGCCTGGAGTCTCCGCTACCATCTATCTGTTTAGCATCGGTGCTTATTTCTGGCTCTCTTTTGTCCGGAACTTCGACGGAGTATAAGGAGGAGGAGGAGGATGAAGAGTTACGGAGATGCTCCGGTGACGGAGCCATCGGCGAGTCGGGAGAGATACCTTGGTCGAGGTGTCGAACGCCTTGTTGATTCTCCAGATCTATTCAAATTCGTTGAACCAAAAGTGTTTCCGCGTGATCTGATATGCGATTGGATGCGAAGCCAGAAATATTAATTTTTTTTATGGTCGGAAAAGAAATGGAGACCTCTAAGGGAGGGAGGTGTTACTGTGAGCACACGTTGGATTGGAACCAAGAGAGGGTGGGAAATGAGACGTAAATATTCGGCGATTTGACTAAACTAACTACTTTAATCGAATATCTCTCTTTTTAGTACCGTTTATTTTATATTTCTCAAAGTGACATCCTTTCGGTTGAGGTGACGAAAGGCGCATCCCGGGGACGCGCTTTACCTGGTTTTACGTTGAGTTGGATGCCACGTGTGAAAGGCGCATCCTCGGGGACGCGCTTTACTTGATTTTACTGATTCAGTTGTCACGTGGTATTTTTTTAATAATAATTTTTTTATTGTTATTATAAATTAGTAATATATTATGTAAATTGTTTCAATTATAATTTAATAATTATCGAATGTATTTTTTAATGTGTGTTAAAGGTAGAGTGTATTATCCACAATAATCAGATAGAACAACAGATGAAAACTAGTTTTTATTTTAATGTAGTTATATGAAAAATGTATAAAATTATTATATTACACGTATGGTTATATTCTTATTTTTTATTTTGATTATCGATCTATTAATTTTATCACTTAATTATTTAAATATTATCAATCTAGTCATCTGTTATTATTATTTAACCAAAATATTGATAAGTTAATAAAATTAGTATAATTACACATTTAATCTGTTATTATTAATATACATTGAGAAATTATAGAAAATACAATTACATTTAAATATTAGAAACAAAAACATTCATTTAAATAGAATATTAGGTTACATAAGGGTTAACAGTTATGTGATGATAATAGAGCTAGACATTTTTTTCTATTGTGTCCGATGTTTCTACAATGCCCACATCGTTTTTGTTCTGTTGACTTCTACCGAATATCCATATCACAATGTATTCTAGTAGATTTTGGACGACCTGGGTCCCTCAATAGCAATGGATCTGGTACAATTGTAAGCCAAGTTTGAATCTCATCTGGGTATCTTTCGTTTCCTATGGGCGGAAACTCAAATTCATATACCTTGAATACTTGTGAAAGTTGGTATACGGGATCAACATAATTTTTGTAGTCCAAATGCGAATGTGAGCAAGCTGCAATGACATGAGAGCATGGATATTTGAGTGCTTGAAAGAAACCACAATCGCACCACCTCTCATGCAGATTAACTCTGAAAGAGTTAGCTTCAATCCCTTGCAACGAACGTGGCATTTCGGTTACACGAAACAATTCACGGGTGCGAGAAAAATTTGTAACCAACATCCCATTTGATACAACCACTTTTTTCTGTAAATCAGCTACTAGTATTGGGTGGTAAATATGACCGTTTTGCATCCAAGTAAGAGCTTGTCCACCGATTTTTGCAAAGAGTTGACCCAAACGAAAATAAGTCGTTTTGACCAATGTCGTGACTGGTAAATGACGCTCCCCCTTTAAGGTTGAATTTATTGTTTCGGCCAAGTTTGTTGTCATATGACCATAGCGATAGGGATGGCAAAAAAACCAAACCCGACAGGAAAAACCGAAAACCGAATTAAACGGGGATGGGAAAAACTTATTTATGCTAAACGGGGACGGGGACGGGTTTGGTAATCCCTGCCCCGATTACCCGGCCTGATACCCAGCCTGATAAATTTAAAAATGATTATTATATATATATATATAATATTAATAAATTCAATTTAAATTAAAATATATATATATATATAATATTTATATATTTAATTTAAATATATATATATATCCGGCCCGATACCCGTTTAAATAACTATTTATGCTAAACAGTGATATCCGTTTCCCCGCAGTTTTCCCTGATTACCCGACGGGGATCCCCGTTTAAATCCCCGCAGTTTTTTAAGCGGGGACATGTATGAGTTTTTTAATCGTGGACGGGGACGGGGGGGCCAATACCCGGCCCGTTGCCATCCCTACATAGCGATACCCCTCGTCATACGCATTTGTCCACATTTCTTTGCTGATGTCCATAATGTACTCGTACCCCTTCTTATTTTTGCCAAACAACTCTTGTAGCATCGACTCTAACCTTTGAGGTAAGAGTTCGTAACCTAAGTCATTAGGAATATGTAATAGTTAATATGAAGTATAAATAAGTAATACGAAAATGATAGAAAAATTGGGGAAAAGTAACATACTCATCCGCACGACTAATTGACGTTCATCGTTCTTCTTGTATTTTCCGTAATAGTTTGCAGCAATATGACGGACACAATAACGATGTTGAACATGTGGAGGTCTATACATTGTACCCAAAGAGTCCATTGCTGCTTTTATCCCGGCTCCTCGGTTTGAAATAATGCATACTCGTTCCCTGGTGACAACATGTAAACGTAAATTTTTAAGGAAAAAAACCCAAGACTCAGTGTCTTCTCCTTGAACGAGGGCAAACGCAGCGGGAAGAATATTATGGTTTCCATCTTGGACCACAGCCAATAATAAAACTTGCTTGTATTTCCCATACAAGAAAGTACCATCAATTTGGACAATTGGTTTACAGTACTTGACTGCATTAATACACTGAGGGTAAGTCCAAAGGACATGGTAGAATTGGCAGCGATCACGAACCACTCGATCATTCATGTAATGATGTTGAGTTTCGAACTCAACAATTGTCCCGGGATTGAGTATTTGCACAACATGAAACCAACTGGGCAGCTCATTGTAAGATGAATCCCATTCTCCATGAAGTTTGCAAATGGCATTCTGTTTTGCCAACCAAGCTTTTTTATATGAGACGGTGTACCCATATTGTGACTGTATAGCAGAAATCAACACTGCAACAGCTATATGAGAGCTTTGCTTCACAATGGGCATGATTGCTTGGCAAATAATGTTGGAGTCCAAGTTGGGATGATCCTGGTTTATACCTCTTGCAGAACACGTATGAGGACCGTTGTATCTGGTTAGTTCCTATGAGTTGTTCTTCCTCTTCCTCTTTGATACACGAACCATCCATTGACATCCGTTGTCACGTTGGACGCAGTAGCAGACATATTTCTCTGTGTTAGATCGATCAACTTGGGACTGAACTGAGTTACGAATATTGTAACTCTTTATTGCCATCATTGCTTCTTCCTTCGATGCGAACTACATTCCAATATGTAAATCACCGTAAATAATTGTTGATTGAAGTCCATAATTGCCAACATCAGGAAGATCCAGAAATTCAGGCTCATACATTGCATCATAATCAGCCTCATACATATGTGCAGGAAGTTCGGCTGGTGTTGTATTTATCGGAACGTCATCATCAGAATGTACGTTAAACTGTGGTGAGTCAGGTTTAACGAATAATCCCATTTCAGTACCATCTGCAATTGGCTCCCGAAGAGGTTCTTCTGGTGGAGATGATGGTTCCTCGGATAATACAATGTTGAGGTCAAATAAGTTCCTACTTCTGTGTCATCCCCTTGAACTTGAGGCCATTGTATCATGTGGGATGTGAATAGACTGCCGTCTCGTTGGCATTTCCATATGTAAGTCGAAAACATTGGCAGATGAATGTCTACCCCTTGAAGTAGAAGAGATGTTGCCATATGGATTATTGGTGAAACCACGTGGGTTGAGATCATAAGAAGTTGCAGATGAATGCCTTCCTACTGAACTTGATGGCATGGCATCTGGTGTTGGATCTGCCATTAATGATGTGAAATCATTATAGATCAGTTGTGTCGGGCTATCAACTTGATCAGCTTGATATACAATGTCAAAGTGAGAGGAATATGGGAGACCACGAGAAGTACGAACCTCAATAAAAGTGGCATACATTTCAATAAGAGATTGTGAACTTCCCATATGAGCATCAACCACCATAGAAACATCATCATCGTTTGAAAGCTGAAATGATGTATACATGAGCGGAAAAAGTTCAGTAGGAAATCTGTACTGAAGTGAAGATAGTCTTCTCCGGCCTGCTACACGAATCTTTAACGAAATTTTTGTGATTAACTCTTCAAGAGTGATGTTTCTCTTCAAGGTTAAGGGGATATAATGATCTGACTAAAAAATAACCCCCTCTTCAGCTTGTTTAATTTCTCCATCATACAAAACAACATCAGAAAAATGACTCATTTTCAGAGAATAAAGGATTGAGATTTTTGAGAAATTTAGAGTTTGAGAATTTCAAAGCTTGTGAATTGAAGTTTGTTTTGAAAGTTTATAATACGTTGCATATAATAGTGTCTATAACCGGGGTACTATTCACGTGAAGGCGCGTTCCTGGGGGCGCGCCTTCCATTATTTTGTCAGAGAATATGTTATCATTGCCCTATTATGTCACTTATGTCCCCCAGGAACTATTAATGTCAATACATATTATTCCTTAGGGGACCGTGAAGGCGCGTTCCCGGGGGCGTGCCTTCCATTATTTTGTCAGAGAATATGTTATCATTGCCCTATTATATCACTTATGTCCCCCGGAAACTATTCATGTCAATACATATTATTCCTTAGGGGACCGTAAAGGCGCATTCCCGGGGGCGCGCCTTCCATTATTTTGTCAGAGAATATATTATAATTGCCATATTATGTCACTTATGTCCCCCGGAAACTATTCATGTCAATACCTATTATTCCTTAGGGGATCATGAAGGCGCGTTCCGGGGGCATGCCTTCCATTATTTTGTCAGAGAATATGTTATCAGCAAAATAAAGGTAAAGCGCCTTCACACGTGGCAACTGAATCAGCAAAATAAAGGTAAAGCGCGTCCCCGGGGATGCACCTTTCGCCACTTCAGCCGAAAGGGTGCCACTTCGGGAAATATAGAACAAACAGTGCTAAAAAGAGAGATATTCGGTTAAAGGGTGTCAGTTTGGTCAAATCGCCTAAATATTCGGTTCGCAGGGATTCCTCAGCATACGACACGTAATTAAACTCTATTGTAAAGCGCCTTCACACGTGGCAACTGAATCAGCAAAATAAAGGTAAAGCGCGTCCCCGGGGATGCACCTTTCGCCACTTCAGCCGAAAGGGTGCCACTCGGGAAATATAGAACAAACAGTGCTAAAAAGAGAGATATTCGGTTAAAGGGTGTCAGTTTGGTCAAATCGCCTAAATATTCGGTTCGCAGGGATTCCTCAGCATACGACACGTAATTAAACTGTCTATTTTAAGGGATATTTTAGTCAATCTAGCTTATCGAAAAAGTAAAAATTATTTTGAATAAAGTAGGTAAATGACCTCTCAATGATTTACCTTTTTTTATTACTTTACTATTAAAAATATAAAATAATCCTTTAATAATAGGGTGATGATTTATTAATTTCTTATCGTTAAAAAGTTATAAATTGATCAATCAATTGTTGATATATTTTAAGTTCATCGTTTTTTATTAAAAAATGACAATAATTTGAATTAGATATTAATTTATTGACTAAAATATGGTAAAAGTATATTTTAATGATATATATTAGCATCGATATTCGTTTTAAGTATTGGCTCGATGACATAATGTAAACAGAGAGTTAATCAAAAAATACAGCTCAAACGATTATAAGATCAGAATTTTATAATAACTTAATTAATACATTAACTTTCAAATCAGACATTCGTCAAATTTTTCATGAAAAATCATAGGTTTGAAACAAATGAATAATTAAGTGACCATTTTTAGTAGTGAGATGATTCAACAAAGTAAAGTCATATAATCTAAATTCATTTTGTAACTTTTAATAATCTAAAAACTAAAAAAGTAACACTTATAATTAAATAACCATTTATGTAATTTGCCCATAATTTCCTTCTCCTAGTACAAAGCAAAGTTGGTTTTTTTTTTTTTTTTCTTTAATATTACAGGAAGGAGAAAAATTCTTTTTTTTTTTAATAGCGAAAAAGGAAAACTTTCGGGCAGAATCAAAATAAAGGGATCCAAAATAATATTTCTCTTTATTCTATTTTTTATATTTTAATGATATATTTCATATGTAATAATCATTTTGGAATTTATTTATAATATATATATATATATATATATATATATAAATGATCAAAAGGACAAATATATCATCCAAATTATTTTGTTTTAAATTTTAAATGAGTGATTATGATTAAATTAAAATAATTAAAATATTATCTTAAAATTCAAATGTTAAATGAGTAGTTGTGGTTAGATTATAATAATAATTATTTTATAATTGTTTAATTTCACATGTTAAAAATGATTGATAATATATTTTTTAATAAAATATTTCATATATAAAAATATTATTAATGAGTTATGTTTAAATTTTTTTTATATTTTATTATAGTTTAAGTTGATATATTTTATATATCATAGTATTAATAAGTGTAAATATTTAAATGTTATATTTTAATTTATAACATAATGTCTATAATAAATATTTTATCTTTTTAAAATGTTATATTTCAAAGTATTTTCTACAACAATTCTAAAAGTCACTTTTCGAAAGTAATATCAAACTGGTCATTTAACAAATTTCAACAATAGAAGTGTTCGATGTGTGAAAAAGATCATGATCGAAAATTTACGTCTAATTAACAATTAAATTTCAATATTAGAATATAAGTTGAAGGATTTTATAATAAATTTGTGAAATTTAAATATTTTTCTAATGAAGCAAATGTTGGGTTCATATTTAGGAGGTCGAAAAACAGTGATTGATAAATTTTGGAGTTTAAAGATTGACAATTAACCATTAATAGTGGCTAACATGGTGGTCGATGATGACTTTTACGAAGAGAATGAAAAAAAAAGATTAAATTGATAAGATTTTTAAATATTAATGGTTAAAATTTATTATATTATCTTGAATTAAAACTTTTTATTAATATTTTTGAATTAAGATTAAATCGATAGAATATATAAGTTTTATGAATTAAGACTATTATTATTGTTCCGTTACCATATCTGCTAAGTTTTAACCATAGTTTAATCATCATTTTCAAATATAATAATAATAATAATATATTTTAAAATAAATCACTAGTAATAAATTAATTTTTAAGGATGTTAGTATTAAATTCTTAAATAAAATATAAAAATATCATTATTAAAGTAAATTGAATTTCAAAGTTATTTTGAGGGCAAATGAGTGGAGTCTATGCATTAATAAGGGCAAAATATAAATTTGCTTCTAAACACACAATTGAAAATGAAAAAAAATTAAAAATCTTAGCTTTTAGGTTGATTTGAAACCACTGTTTCACATAATTTTTTTCTTCAATTTTTATTGATTTTGTTGTTAATACGAACTTTTAAACTAAAAGTTTTTTAAGCTAGGTAGTTGAATCACTAAGTCATACTTTTGCCAAATAAATGTTTAGTGATTAAAATAGAAATTTATTAATAATTTAGTGATTAATATTATAGTTTACCCTCATATTTTCCCCTAACTGCTCTTCTCCAAAAAAAATAAATAAACAAGAATAAACTACAAGTTTAGTATTTAAATTATTAATTTTTTTCCATTTTATTACCTAAACTTGATGTTTCTTCAAAAACATACTTAATATTTAGCTTATGTTTCAATTTGATATCATACAGTTAAAAATTAACAGAACTATTGATATGATATTCTTTTATTTTTCGATGATGATATGCCAATATCTTATGGTGACACGTTAATATCACTATTAAGTTTTTAACGATGAAATACTAGAATGAAACTTAAACTAAAACATTATATATTATTTTGAAAAAAAATAAAATTTAGATATCAAAACAAAATAAAAATAATAGTTTATTAACTAAACATATAATTTAGTCAAATAAAAATAGAGGATGATGATAAAGAGTACTTTGCTTTTGGCTGCGTCAACCCCCTCTATTCCCTCATCTACATCTTCCCAATGTACCCTGCCCAATTTCCACCTGCCTTTCTCTCCCTCAATCAATCAATTCTCCCCGTTCCCTCACGCTTTTCGAGAGCTTCAATGTCAGATCACAACCCCAAAGAGCCTAACATCAACACCCTCAGCATCGATCTAACAGAGCTCATCCTCTCTTCCCTCCCTATCCCTTCCCTCCTCCGAGCTTCCTCCGTTTGTAATCTCTGGCGCTCTCTCATTTCCTCCCCTTCTTTCACTTCCCCTTCCCTTTCCTCCCCTTGGTTCTTCCTCTTCGGTCTCCACAACACTTCTTCTAGAAACAACCAGTCTTTTGCCTTCGACCCTTTATCCAATTCCTGGTTTCTTCTCCCTTCCCTCCATGATGATTCCTCTTCCTCTTCCTTTTTGGGTTCCAGTGGCTTCCTTTTCACCACCACACCTAAATTCAGCTACACCCCACTTCTCAAATCGTCTTGGCGTTTAACCTCGTCGTTGAAGTACTCCAGGGTTAATCCTCTTCTGGGTGTATTCCATGACGGTTCATCCGGTGTCCACCGCGGCTTTAAATTCATCGTCGTCGGTGGGGTCAGGTTTATCGGTGGCTTGGTCGATATTGAAGATAGGTTGGCTGTTGAAATCTACGACCCGAATCACGATTCTTGGGAGCTTTGCCCTGCTTTGCCGGCCGATTTCAGGTCCAGGAACTCCAGCCAGTCCCTTTCATCGGATTTGCTCAAAGGCAAATTCTATGTCTTTGGGATCTACTCTGGCTTTGTTTCCTCTTTCGATATGCGAAACCACGTTTGGAGCGAAGTTCAAAGTCTGAGGCCACCTGGGATCATTTTTTCCTTCATGATTTCGTGCAACGACATGCTTGTTTTGGCCGGGATGTGCAATGCGCCGCGTGGGCCGTCGTTTAATATATGGAGAATCGATGAAAGAACGATGGAACTGAGTGAGATCTACCTCATGCCTCAGAGCCTGTTGTACAGTTTAGTGGATGATGAGGAAGATGACAAGTTTGCGAGCTTGAAATGCGTGGGGATGAGTAATCTTATATATGTTTTCAATGAAGAGTATCACCAAAAGTACCATGCTTGTCTCTGTGAAATCAGTGCTGATAATGGGAAGTGCAGTTGGAGGAGGGTGCCTCAGTTGCCATTAGCCGTTAACAAGTTTTCATAAAGTCATTAGCTTTTGTTCAACTGTTTCTTTGACTCATATTTTTCACTGACTCATTTTCCTGAATACTTGAACTCTGGTAAGTTTGAGCCTCGAATTGCCTTTCCCTTAGCTTCTTGCATGCTTGATGGAGTGTTATTTGCATTTAGCTGTGGTATTTGAGTGATCATAATTGTGATGATGATTATTGAAACCTTTTTTTTTCCTTTTTATGTGTTCTTTAATTACATAGGTTATTCATTAGTGTGGCTGAAGTGGTCTTGAATGAATCTATCAGCTTTACATCGCAGTATTTGTTCATAGCTTTCTTAACTTGTTGACAATACGCACACCTCATGGACACAATTGCTCGAATTTGGAACCTCTAGAGAGAATAACACTCCCTTTCAGCCTTTTATCATGAGGCCACTCAATGGGATCGAGTATATAGCTATTAAAAGAAAAAGGAAAATGGTGCATAGGCGTGTAAGTTCTAGCAACTAATTGGCAGATTTGGCTTGGTAACATGCATGAAAAATCAAATATGAATGTTTGTCATTTAAACACAAGTGACTTTTGTCAGATTCTGGTTAATTGCTTTCTCATTCTTAGGGTGTCCGAGCTTAATGTAAACTCATCAATAGTATTAATTATTGTACGAAAAAGGATAGTTTTAAAGTTTATATGGTTTCTCATACTATAGTCTTAACTGAGCCTTCCCATCTCATTCAATAGCAGTTGGCTTCATGATTGTTTCAATTATGTATCAATCTAATCAAGATGCCATAAAAATATCTCAACCGAAATTTATGTGTTTTCCATTTGAGGTTTAAGGTGTCGCCATTTTTCTTCTTTCGTTTCCTATATTACCTTGGTAGGTGCAAATCTAAGGTACGTATTGAACCTTCAACCGTGCATATAATTAATTGAGTTAAAGACAATGATGCTTGTGCCAATAGTTTATCAGAAAACATTCAAAGGTCAATTAGTTGCTTTACTTCTAGAGATGAGTTTCTTCAATGTAGCAAAAGAGAAAAAACAAGGCATGATAAAGGATATATGTATAGCATTTGCATGACTGTCAATTACCAATCTATAACCTTGAGAAATCTTGTTTCTCTGAATGCAATTTTGGGCACTTTAAGCTGTTCAAATGGTTGATATTACAGGCATTTTTATCTTTCGACAGCTTGCTCGATAGTGAGTGTTCAAGAACCCGATCTGGTGGCCACAAAACTTCGAGCTTTTATGAAGAGAGGAGAAGAGATTGCAGATGGTGCTACTGTATACATGTTCATCTTCCAACCCTTGCATGTTAATATTTATAGAACCCTGCGAGAGGAAACCAAGGTCACAAAGTCTTTCTTTGATTGATCATCCTTTGGGATTGGTCTTATTACAGTTAATCACGTTGGTGTCTGTTTATATTGACGATATGAAGTTGTTCTCAAATCCTTAAGAATATCAGTTAACATTTGCATAGGGTTCATATTCAGAACTGGTTATGTAAACAATCAATGGTGCAAACAGATGTACTGAATTTAAACATTAAATAAATTTCGAACATGATAATATTCTATAAGAAATATGCTTTTGATTAAATGGTATTGCTGTTTATGAATTGAAAATTTTAAAAAATAATTTTGGGTTAACAGTACAAATGGAAAAAAGACATTAACAAATTGTTGACAGATTTGTGCCTGATTTATAGGCCAACTTAAATGTGTTTTCATATTTATTGTATATTTGATTTTTTTAATTAATTTAGGGGTTATTATAAGGTAATATCTATTTTAAAGTTTTTCAGCTTATCTCATAATAAATACTCAAACACCTTTGGTATACGATGTGATATAATCCGAGACTTCTACGAATAACAATCATCCTTTTAACTATTGGGGTAATTTAGTTTATACATATATGTTTGACTTTTCAATTTAAACTCTTTATATTCACATATATATATATATATATATATATATAGGTCTCTAAAGTTGTAACCAATTTATTGAAAATACAAGAGAGTGTATTGTTTAAGTAATATTCTCTCGCTTGCAATTAACATTTTTTTTCTTCATAATCACAGTACTGTAGAGGCAAAGATGACTCGTCCAATCTAGTTTATTCCATTTAAAATCGTCAGGATTCGGACCTCTGATCTTATTTAAAGAATCTAATAACTCATCTCCACTAAACCAACTGATTATTGATTTGTAATTAACATCTTTAACTATACCATCTTCATCTGTTACTCTTAAACATTTTGTCATAGTTGTACAAGAACGTTGCATAATAATGAAAAGAGTAAAGGACAAGATAAAAAAAGTGATTTTCGTGATAAAACAAATCATATTGAATATACATTATGAATGAATAAACACGATTGAAAGGATCATTTTTATAGAATGTCTCTACTGAGAATGGGCATAGATCCGGGTTCGATTTGTCTCAAGGGTTACATTTTAAAGAGAGTGCTTAGAAGTTTTAAGTTCAAATAAATACTTCCGTGGAGGTGTGTATTATAAATAGGATAGATTCGAAATAAATTCTGCTTTGACTATTAGAAAAATATAGTAAATTTAGGTTGGATTTTGTGAATGATAAAAACGTCTGTTACTGCTTCCACTTTCATCGTATCGAGTAGAAAAAAATATCGGCTTACAAAATATAACACTTAATAGCTACTTTAACACTTTCATTAAAAAAATATCATTATGGTCATTTTATTTTATTCAGTCACTTTAGCCCTCCTACTTGCATTTCGTGAACACAATTAGCCACTCACTGATTTCTATTAAAAGGATCGTGTGACTCAATCAAATTTTTTCTCGTGCATTTGAATTTAAAAAATTAAAAACAACTAGAACTTCAAATAAAATTGTATAACTATAAAAAATCAAAAATATATTTTTTTAGTCATACATATAAAAATTTAATGAATTGTAATCATGCTTATTTATTTTTAAAAATTAAAATTTATAAAATGTTAAAATATAAAAATATAAAAATATTAAAAAACCAATTTGTTTGATTTTTAAGTTTCTTTTTAGATTTTTTAAATCTTTCAACTTTAATTTTTTTTTGAAAAAAATTAAATCTAAATTCATGCATACATGCTGACTACACTATTAAACCAAAATTTAGATTGAGAAGGATTAAAAGAAATCTAAGTGATATTTTCCCCTAAAATAGATATTAAACCAAAATATAATTATATATCATATACATATTATTTTTCTAAACATTAATTCAAAAGTTTATATATATATATATATATATTAATTTAAGGTTAGTTTAGTATTATTTTTAAAAAGTGGTTTTCAAAAAAGTTTTAAAGAATATTTTTAAAATTTAATTGTTTGATATTATTGTTAAAAATAATTTTAAAATGATAAAATATTCATTCTAAATATTATGTTATAAATTGAAAATATAATATTTGAGAATAAAAATATATTTTTTATTTTGAATGTGATTTTTATGAAAAAGTTAGTAACTTAAACTTTTTAAGATTATGTAGAAAATCATTTTTTTAACTATAATTTTAAATTAATTTATGTAAAAATCATTTGCACAATCCGGCAACTTTCAGTTCTAGATTAGTTCGTAAACAAAAATAAGACGACGCATAATCTTTATTAGAATTAAAAATAAAAATGAATCGAATATTAATTATTTAATATTAAATAATGCCTTGTGTATATCAATTTTAGGAAAAATTATATACGAAGTGAATATATTAGAATATTACACTTATTTTTTTATTAATCTAAAGGTGATTATAAGGTAATATTTATTCGAAAGATTCTCAATTCATTTGATGATGAACGTTTAAACATCCTTGACATACAATGTGCTTAAACTTATGATCTGTAGAGATAACAATCATATTTTCAACCACTCGTGTACCTTGAGTTGACTATTTCACTTTAATTTTCCAACAAATTATTGGGTAATTATATATAAGATAAATTATGCGTTCAGTATCTAAACTATCAATTTTTATTTATTTTAGTATCTAAAATTTTATTTTTTTTCAAAATTATAGCTAACATTTAATATTTTGTTTAATTTTAGTACCTATCATTAAAAACTTAACGGACGGACTCACCGTTCCCCGCATCTACAACTGTTGGTCGACGCATACATTGACTGATGAAGCCTAAACTTTTTAGCCCACATCTTTTTGATTCCCTGAAGGCGATTTCGACATCCATTTCTCCATGAAATACCTCAATCTTCCCAAATTGATGACGAACTATTCAATTTCTTCATATTTTGATCTCCATGGTTCATCGTCTGATGGAGCTAAAACTGAACTATATTGGTCGACTTATCATTTTCTTGTGGTACGCCGTTTAGATTGGTCGTTCGTCCACCGAAGCTATGCCACATTGGCTTTTCTGTTAAGTTTTTAACGATTAAGTATTAAAATGAAACAAAATTTAAACATTAAATATAATTTTTAAAAATAAAAATTTAAATACTAAATGAATCAAAACGAATAATTTATATATTAAACGTGTTATATATATATATATATATATATATGAAAGTAAGGTCCAAACATAGATAAGAAAATTTTCTAGTGCAGTGTTAATAGAAAAGTATTAATATGACATATATAGTCCCTGCCATAAAAATCCAAAAGAAACTTATGTATAAAATTTGGGTAAATTATACCAGTGACCACCTAATTATAGCCTTTTTTCATTTTAACAATCAATTTTGAATTTTTATCAATTAGGTCATCAGCTATTTATTTAACTGAGGTGCTAACGTGGTAGTTAAAAATTAGTATAATTACATATTTGACCCTCAATATTTATACATTCTATCAAATTGACCATAAATTTAATAACAATTTTAGTAAATTTAATCTCCAATTAGGTGGTGACACATGTCACCACTATGTTGAAGTTTATTTTATAAATTTTAATTATTTAATGTGTTTTATTTTGTATCCAACTAAATGGTGACACATGTCACCACCTTATTTGTTAAGCAAAAAAATGTAAAATATAAACTGCTTCTATGAAGGTTCGACCAATGCGTTGCTTCATTTTGTACACG